ACTGACATCACTGCAGACAGTTCACCCCTCACTGACATCACTGCAGACAGCCTGTCCCTCACTGACATCACTGCAGACAGTTCACCCGTCACTGATGTCACTGCAAACAGCACACCCCTCACTGATGTCGCTTCCAAGAATTGCTGTTGTGCAGTAAGTCAAAGCCATACCAGCCAATGCAAAACAGATAGTATTTAACCAGTTCCACACACTTGCTTAGGAATCCCAATCACAGTTAGTATAGTAGTAGTAGTACCTTTCTTGGATGAGCCACGTGGAGCCTGACATTTCATGACATTTAAAAAAATATATATATTCTTTAGTTATTTTGTAATGTTTGCCCACCCATTCTGTATCACCAATTATGTCTTTATGTCTTTATGTCTTCCCCAGCAAGTGCAGGCGGGGTCCTCCAGTCCACACGTCCACAGGCCATGCAGCATTTGACAAGCCACCAGCTCTTCAGCAGTACACAGGAGGTTCAGCACCGATCACACCAGTGAATCTTAAGTTTAGAGAAAAAGGCCCTTTGCAGATGAAGGTATTGTTTTTGCTTTGTTTTGCCCCATACATATTACACAAAAAAACGTGTAGATGCATTTTGTTTATCATCTTAAATTGTTTATTCGTACTGTTTATTCTTATTGAAATTGTTTATTTCGTCTTGTGTTTGTGAAGTACAGAAGAAAGCGAGCTGGAAACAGACAATGTCCTCGCTGTTCATGTTCGTTCCCCATGCAATAAAAAAGGATTGTCTCGAGGACAAATCCTTGAAGAAAATGCAGAGGGAGAGAGATAAAAAAAATCATGCATGCAAATAGAGTAATATGTTTCTCTGCAGCTTACTTAAAAGAAAAAGAAAGAGTTTAGCCCTTGCTAAAATGCAGCTTTACAGGGATCTCTTATATTATGCCCCCTCCCTATCTCCTTCATTGGGGAAATTTAAAGCTTCCAGTCCCAGCTTTTTATTTTTTTAGACCTTAATTTACACCAAAAACCAGAAGAATTCCCATCTTTACGACAGGACGTCTGATGGGGCCCAACCACAGCTCCCCTCTGCTGCCCCAGATACCCGGTCTGAAATTGACCCGCGGCAGCTCCCCTCCCTCCTCGGCGAGTCAGAGGCTCATCTCCCTCTGCATGCGACCTGCGCTGCCTCGTGCAGGGCTGTCTGCTCCCAGCTCTGACAGAAAATCAATGGCCTGAAGCCCGAGAGACTCAGCACATGGATTTCCGATACACAGCCGTCAAAAACAGAACACAGCACGGTGACAGCTGGGCCTTTGGCGCGGACCTTTCCCCTTTCGAGAGAGGGGTGTGTCGGCGTGCGGGCCGATCTCACGCCCCTTTTTAGCGCGGCGCTGAAGAGGAGGTCACATGAAGGCAAGCTCTTTGACCTGAGACACTAGACACACACGCTGGGAGTCAGGAGAACACATCAATGAATTAAAAAAACCCATATTGCAAAAAATGTGTAAGATGGCTGCACAGACATTGCAGGCCCAGTGATACTGTATGATAGGAAATTACAAATGCATTAGATATTTTTAACCACCTGTTTGGAGTCTCCAGTCCGACAGGTGACACCATCTGCAGAGACAGGCATAGCCAAGATATCCTCTGCTTTCCACATGGCCAATCTAGAATGCAGCCAGCACGTATTTGTCCTGATGACGTGCTTGCTGTGACCAGGCATTGCATGGAATTTCTGCAGTTGTGCCATGCTCCTGCCATATGGTTTGCTTCCTCATTGTCTTCCACAGTTAAACCATGTTGATTTAAACATGCCAGTGACTTCTTACTCCATGATTTCAATGTTTTACTATATTTCACAATGTACCTTTTACCATAATGTACCTGCATAATATACAGTTGCCTTTATACTGGCGAAGTGAGTGGAGAAGCTGTGTGCAGCCCTCATTGATTAGCACCCAGACTGAAATGCGCCCAATTAGAGATTCAGGGTGCTATGCTGCTGTGAGTGGTGGACTGAGCCTAGGACTCCCCTAGCCAGCCCCACGCCTGAATTGTGCTTATAGCGTTTCCTTTGTTTGCTATCCCTTTAAAAGGATGGCACTGCTCAGCTAGGGGCAGAGACTACCAACCCATTCCTGGGCCTACAAGGCCCTGCTTTCCAGTCTCCCAGACATTGATCCTCTCGACCCCTGTGTCGTTGTATTAACTACCCCTGATTTTGCCTCTTTTCTCTCAGCCGATTCAGTTAATCTCTTAAGTAAACTAACCATTCACTTGAAGTTGACCTTTTGCGTTTGTTTTCAGTTCTTAGACTGCTGAGAGATTTCAGTCGGACTATTAAATGTCACATATGACTTTTAAACAGTGTCTAATTGGATAAGATATTACCTGCTTCCAGGAACAAGATCCTTGGATCTGGTCGGCAAGCTGGAAGAAGCCCATACGACTAAGATGAGCCTGATGGCCTGGTCTTAATTGCAATTATGTTGCGGTTTTTTAAATATAATTCTAGAGCCAGGCTGCAAAAACCCCAATTTACCACTCTCCATCCACTCCCACCCCCCAAAGAGACCTTCTTTTCCTCTCAACTGGCCTCACTTATTTAGTACATTCTACTTCTGAGTGATGGCTCATCACTACCGACGATCAGATCTGGCATTTGTATTCATTTATCTGTGTGCTCCTAATAGGGTCTCTTTTTTCATGTTGCTATTAAAAGAATTCTTATCAGTCTTATCAGTCCATTATACTGGAATGTACTCAGGATACATCGTTGCATTTGTGTCTATATTAAGAGGAAATACTTTACTACTAATTTGTGTATATACTAAATGTTAAAGCATTCCATCTTTACATTTTTATGTCTTCTTGTCTAGGGAGGACAGTGAAACCTTCTATGTATTGCCTGACTTTTCTTGTGGAGAAATATCAGAGAGGGCATCAATAAACAAAATAAAGGTATATTGTACAGTTAATTCTTTCATTTTAAATAAATACATTCTATTATTTTTTGCATTGATAGCTTTCAATAGCTGTTTCGTAATTACAAGATGTACCATCAGGGGCATTCCCAAACAGACTTGAAGCTGAGATAATGTGGCTACCCCACATAAAAACATCACTGGATGTCACTGGAGTCAGGGCCACAGCAGCAGTGAAAAGCTCTTCTAAGCTGTTTGTTATAGCTGTGCTCAAGAAGAGCAGGAATTTCTCCAGCTGAGATGCTGAGCTCAGTGCAGCAATTTCAGTTGGAGACTCACTAACTAAAGGTCAGGTCTAATCGGCGTATGGAATTGATAAATTGTTTTGGTTACAGTGCAATAATCCAGCCAGTCACAAGGGGCTCCCTGATGTCTTTCCACTCAGATGCACAAGTACAGTAACACTCACTGAGCCATACCTACAGTACCTCCAAACACACACACAAACAGTCACTGCATTTCTGTAAGAAAGCAAGTTCAGTTTGCAGATGACTTTGCTTTCAAATCAAATGCGATTACAATAAAATGCATCATCCAGGAACTGATATATCCTGGTGTAAGCAGCCTGCCCCAAGGGCATTAAGGACACAGGCGCCGGAGCAGATAAGTTCCATTTTAAGCACTGGAGTTTGTGGTTGTTTTAGTAATGGCTTCTGCAGAGAGATGTTTTATGGTTCTGGTAAGGATTCATAATAAAACATTTAAACTTTAAGGAAGACAGATTAACAGGGCAAGATTAGCTAATGCTGTAGTGGATGTAGAAGGGTTTTTCTTTCAGTGAAATGGCCTCTTCATCTTTCACATTTTCGGAAATCATTTAACTTAAATTGTGCTGTTTAAAAGACAACTTAGAACCAAAGATTATACCATGGGGAATATTTCAGTTGAATTTTATGACTTTAACTAGACATCAAATAATAGCACAGTTTTATGTGTTTATTGTTATTCACTGAATCTTATAAAACGTGGATCATTAAAACTAATTTCTGATGTATTAGCCTTATGCCACTGTGTCTTATTCCTCTTTGAACCTTACAGAGTTTGTCAATACAGTAAATAAAAGGTGATTTTGTACAGTATTTACATACAGATAGTAAGCATGGCCGGCCACCTGCCTCCCCAGTCTCCAGTTAGAGCTTCTGGTTAAGGGCAGAATATTGCAGTTCAACGGGAAGAGAATGAACATTTTAATGAACTTTCTCTCTGAGATAGAAAAAGTTAGAACAGCTCTGGAGACTGTGAAGCACAAAACCTAGCAAGTTCATTTCTACTGTAAATTTAAATATTACACAAGAAAAATCATAATACAGTGGAAGTTTGGTAAAATGATGGCAAGCAAGAAGAGGTTCAGAGAAGTTTGCCACTCTATGTAGGAGACCATGGCAAAACACAGCAGGAACACAAGGGGAAAAAGTGGTCAATGGCAGAAATACCACGCAGATCCACCTTGACAAGCGTTTCTGAGCTGTTTCTTCATGAATGTGTGGCTAAAGTGCCCTGGGAAAAACTCAGCATGTAGAAAATACTGTAGCAATAGTGTTAGTTGCGGAAAAGGCCTTAATGGATAATTACAATGAGTGAATTGACATGCCAAAAAAACAGGACATCCTGTGAGAGGGCTTCAGGAATAGGATAATCTGACAAAGCTGAACAGCACTTTGATTCGTGCATTATTTCAGATAATAACTTGTCCCCATGGGTTTTGTTTATGGGACAGAAAACGTGTTTTGTTAGGATTTCATATCATTCCACATCATTGGGCTCTGCAAGGTTAATGTTACCAGTTAATGTTCTTAGTCTGAATTTGCAGTGGTTTCAAAGTACAAAAAAATGTCTCTTCCAGTTATTCTCAGCTATCATCCCGGCTGTACCTGAAGTAGATTGTGAGTTTAATATTCATTTATGTCCTTCTCTGTTGATATATTCTCAAAAATGGAGCTTTCTCCAAAAGGGTGTGAATGCAATCAAAAAAGGGAATAAAGAGCCATAAGCTTCTGTTTTCAAGATCTGCAAGTGGGAAACATTATTTATAGCTCCCATACTCATATTGGGGATTCTTCACTCTTCATCATTAGCAAATCACCGTAGCATAATAAATTCTCAGTTGGAAGCAAATCTTTATGAGCGCTCTTTCCTGAATTAGTTTCCGCAATCTGGCTTCTTCAGTTGAGGAGCCCAGTATGAAACGACCTTATGCTGGGAGGCATATGTTATTTACATTAATGTGAGATTCCAGCTTCAGATTTTCTTAATTACCTCAGATTGTACAGAATATACAGTTTGATATTCATTCTAAAAGAAAAACTGTTTTTTTTTTTGCATTAAAAGGGAAACACCGACTGGTATGTGCTGCCTGTATTGCTCTGAGGTCAGTTCAGCATGGACCAACAACATGCATGAACTGAAATCTACCCATCCCTGTTGTCAAATCTGATAGTGTGTAGCTGGCTCCTCGGATCAATTATTACTCAGGTGCATGTGTTCCCTGCTCAGTGAAAGTACAGATGACGCAGCAAAGGCTGTACAGATGTATCCTCAGAATTACAGGAAGGGGCAGAAAAACCAGTTAATGATTGCACCATGAACTGGGAGGGGAGACACCATTGTATGAAAAAGACATACAATAACAATAAGGGATATTAACAATAAGGGATTGTCATTTGACCACAGAAATACAGGACTGCCTCCCAAGACATTTGTCCAGAGCAACTTAAATTCGTATCCAGTCAAGAGGCAAAGGCTGCAGATAAAAGAATTTAACTGTGTTCATTCTGTGAAGGGAAAGGTCTACAACAACAGAGCTCCTTTCCTAGATGGGAATTCTCTGTCGCAGAAATTGCTGGGAAAGCTCCAGCTCCCTAACAGCCTGCCAGGGATTCCCATCGCTGAGCCGCTCCCCTTGGCTCTGCTGACGCTGAGACATTCTGGCAGGGTTCCAAATTCCAACCCCACCTCCTCCCTTCTCCCCACCCCACACCCCACACCTCACAACGGCTTCCCCCAGCAATCAGTCCTCCAGAGACTTTCCCAGCATTCCTGTCTGTGCCTGTCTGCTGAGTTCAATTAAGATTCCTGGCAGGGCTGCAAATAAGCTTTATTCCGTTTGATAGCAGGCAGCAACTAGGATTAGAAATGAAGTTAGTACAGGCTGCTGGAAGACTGGGACTGCGGCGAGGCTCAGTACAGGCTGAGAGGGACAAAATGGCAGTAATAAACAGTGACACTTAAATATGAAGGCTGAGGGACTTAAGAGTTGTTAGGGAGTAATATGGCCTAGCAGTTATGGTTGCAGAAAATGTTAAACAAACAGACTTTCCCAAAGCGGACTTTGCACATCGGTTTACAAAAACACTGTCATACTGCATCTCGCCTTGTAGTTTCCATCCTATGAATGTGCATGTCCACTTTATGATGTGTAATTAACTCATTACTCAGTCTTAACAAACTGCACATTGGCCAAATGATGTCTGTTCCCCCGCTCCTCATTAGAGGTGGGATTTCCTCCTATACCTTCTTGTTCAGATGTTTTTTGAAAGAAACGGGCAGGTGACAAAGATGCCACAAAGTCAGACATCAAGAAGTGTTCCTCTGAACATTCAGTGT